AGCCATACATCCACATGATGCTGAAGTAGTAACACTGACAAGTGATTTGTTAATTAAAACACGTGTGGGAAAAATCCTGACATCAACTATTAATGCAATTTTATTTTAAGTGTATACATTAAATTTTATTTCATTGTACACTTGTAAATCATTTTAATAATTGACAATATCATTCATAATTTAAATAGAACATTAATTTTGTTTTAGTTATTATAATAATAATTATACAAACAAATAACTGTAGATTATATCAAGCATAATAAACTGAAAAAAAAAGAGATTAATTAGCCTTTTTGCTCGGAAACAACAACATTTAATGATCTAATGTAAAACTGAAGTCCCATAAAAAATGTTAACATTTTGTGAAATGAAAGACAAAATAAACTTGTGTAAAAAATGCAATGTATGAAAAAGATATAATGATAGCTATGTTGACACATGCTAGACATACAACAAAAGGTGATATATAATGACAGAATGATGCATGTTTATGTATTAATTCAATACAAATCTAGCAGTTGCTACGACTAGCTTTCATACATTATACTGGAAATTTATGCACAATATACAATTGTTTATTTTAAGTAAATACATGTTTATAAAATGATTACAATTGTTAATGGATATTTTTATCAACAATCTTATATACATGAATTTATGGTATATGTATAAGTTAAATAGAAATCAAAGTGTCTGTGTACAAGGAAATAGCTTGATTTAAGATTTGAGCCGCGTCACGACAAAACCAACATAATGGGTTTGCAACCAGCATGGATCCAGACCAGGCCTGCGCATCCGCGCAGTCTGATCAGGATCCATGCTGTTCGCTATCAGTTTCTCTACTTGCTTATAGGGTTTGTAAGCCAACAGCATGGATCCTGATCAGACTGCGTGGATGCTGGTCGCAAACCCATTATGTTGGTTTTGTCATGACATGGCTCATTTCTTTGCAATTGAATAATTCCTCCTCTAGAGTACAATAGATTGAAGCCAAGTTTAATGGGGCCAAACACAAGTTACATAACTTTGAGTAACCTCACAATTTTCATTGTCTAAATAACATTAGCGTTGACCTATAATATTCTAAGAACGCAGGCCAGATCTGATAATTTATCATTGATATAGTTAAGGCAATCAAGTAGCTGTTTAACTTTACAAAACATCCACTCGTTTCCTCATAAAAAAAATATCAACTTATTTCTTAATCTTCTGTTTTTAAACTGCAAGTCCTATTGAAATAATAAGTGAAGATTTGTTTCAATCTTCACTACATAGACTACTTGCTTGCCTACAGCTTTTTCATCTTAAAGAGACCAGTTCAGTTCATGACAATAACTAAAGCTTCTTTTTGACTTCACACATGCACAAGTACTTGCAAAATATAAAATCCAGGGTACAAGTTCATGAAGTATATTTTCTTCACTTTGGGTTGGAGAAAGTAGATTTACTATCTTATCATTACATAATTACATATAAAGTTACAACAATGTGTTAGGTGGTTGTTTTTGGAAGTAATATAGAATAGTTTATCTAACACCAAGGTATACTAGGAGCACAATATATAGCTATCTCAGTTTTGGTTTTTCCTCACCTCAACTTTCTGCTCGGGAAGCTTTAGTGTCATCGGACGTGTTTTGTTCTGGCGCGTCTGTAGGAAACAAAATTATACACAACACATATACTTAAGGCGAAAAAACATCTTTTTTTTTTTATAAATGAAGTAAAAACAAATAAAAGCCAGAAAATAAAATCAGTCAAAAGTATGAGGTTATTTGCAGTATGTTACAAATCCAATTATGCACCTTTTTAGCATTAAGGACAAATTAAATTACCATATACATTTCCAACATTGAATAATAATTTCAACAAAACTACTTAAAGATATTCTATGCTCATCTGTTGGTAAATATTTTTTACTGCATAAATTTTATGAAATTTACAACAATGTCATCTTACTGAATTTGTCTAATTGAACAAGGGAATTCACAAACTAGAACTGGTCCAGTTAATTTGGCCCTTTCTTGAAAAAGACTGCTAGTGTTGTTTTCTTAAAATGGCAATATGTTGTCGAACTATGTACACCTATATAGTGTGTAGAGTTAAACATAAACAATTATCTTCTCTGTGTGTACTCAAAAGATTTTTTTAACATCTTAAAAAGATACCATTATGGCTAATGCAATAATCAGTGTGTTTTTTTAACATCAAATTTGAGCATAAAATATCTTTAAGATTGAATTAATTAAAAATCAATTTTGATATCTTTCAACTATTTATCATGGAAAATTAATGTACTTTAATGTTCTTGTAATTATGCCAAGTCTATAACAATGCATATGGTAATTATCAACACCAAAAAAAAGAGGCAATAATGCATATTTTAGCTTTCAGCTCTGTTCCGACATTTTTATAGAGAAATTACCATGATACATGTTAACTAACAGAAAATATCAAGTCATTCACTAAATTCAGAGCACATTTTTGAGCCGTATCACGACAAAACCAACATAATGGGTTTGCGACCAGCATGGATCCAGACCAGGCTGCAGGTCAGGATCCATTGCTGTTCCCTATTCAGTTTCTCTCTACTTGTAATAGGGTTTGTAAGCATGGATCCTGAGCAGACTGCTCGGTGCGCAGGCTGCGTCTGGATCTATGCTGGTCGCAAACCATTATGTTGGTTTTGTCATGACGTGGCTCCTTTTTATAATGTAAAGCTTTATCAAACCAAATCTTAAAAGTATCTTATATGCTAGAGCTGAAACCTATGTAACAGTAAACAACAAAAATTCATGATAAAATGTAGTTTTATCGAAACAAACAGTCAAGGGCAACTCATAATCCTTTCAAAAGAAGCTGGGTAATTTGCAATCATTCTAGTTTGGTTGTGCTAAAAATTTCCAGTATTATATATTCTGAACTTATCAAGAAAGCTAACAAAATGCTGCTGGAAGGAAATGAATAAATATGAGCCGTGCCATGACAAAACTAACATAATGAGTTTGCGACCAGCATGGATCCAGACCAGCCTGGCGCATCCCCGCAGTCTGATAGGATCCATGCTTGTTCGCTGTCAGTTTTTCTCCACTTGTTTAATAGAGATTGGTAAAGCGAACAGCATGGATCCTGATCAGACTGCACGGATGCCGCAGGCTGGTCTGGATCCATGCTGGTCGCACTACGCATTATGTTGGTTTTGTCGTGACGCGACTCATATGTTGAAGCAATGAGAAAGCTGATTGTTACATGATATAAATGCTGGTTACTGCATAGAATATGATATACAGAAGCTTGGAGAAGACCATCCTGGACCAAATATGTTCAAATAACTCATAATTTCAGTGCAAATATTGTAATGTCTTCTTCATTATCATTTCAAGAACAGAAGTGAAATAAAATTATTCTTTTCTCATTGTTTAATTAACAACAAATTCTTCAAATTTGCCATTCACTGGGTAGGATTATTAAATTTAACTTTACATTTAAAATTGTTTTTTGTTTAAAAAATTTCTATTTCGTAATTTACATACTTCTTACATTATATCAACAATATTTTTTTTATGTATTTAAATTATAAATATTTTCATTTTCTAAAAAGACAAATTCTAATTTCAAACAATTATTGAAATATATCGCTATAAGAATATATGAAAAACCAAAAATAGAAAAAAATATCACACATTTGATCCAGGTTGGTTGTGAACATACAAAAGAAATTCCCAGTGCAAAAAAAAAGGGGCATCACTTTCATGAAAAAAAAAAAAAATCTTCATAATCAGTAATTACCTCCCCTTGTGTTACTTCTTGTGCGATTACAGTTGTCGCTTCAGTTGTAGTATTGAAGTAATTGTTGTTGTAGTTTCTGATGTGGTTGCCTCGGTAAACAACTGTTTCCGATGCATTACTTGTGACACTCGTGTCTCCAGTATGATCAATTCTGTGTAAATAATATATAACTATCTTTCTAGAATATTTATATAAAACTTTTTTTAAATTTTTGTTTGTTTTTTGTTTAAGTCGCACCAAAACAGTATAGGTCATATGGGCAGCTTTCCAGCTTTACTGGTAGCGGAAGACCTCAGGGCCGTCCGTGCATAATTTCAGGCACGAACAGGCACCTGTGTAGACCATCTATGTTCCTAAAGCATAATAGTATAAATTATGCAAAATAAAGTATCTTTCTAAACAATCTGACCAAATCTTTTTAAGACGACCAAGAATTTATTTATTGCCTAATTCAAAGTAAAGGAGTCCTTTATTTATTACAATGATCCATCATTTATTTTATAAAGGATATTGGGGACCATTAGCAGACAAACATGCAATGAAAAAATTGTGGAAACATAGAATTTAATACAGAACCTTTTTCTTTATATAATTAATATATGAGACTTGGATACTTGGGATGTATTTCAATTATTAAAATACTTAAAGTCAAACTAGATATTGAAATTGGACCTTGACTTTACGACTCCAAAAATCACAAAATTGTCAATAGTTTGTTCAGTTGATACTGGAAAAAGTAGTGTGTTAAATGCGGTTTAAAGAGGCAATTTCAAATAATAATTTAATAACTCAAATTTTCAGTATCATCCTAGCAGTGCAAAGAAAACTATATAGCATCATATTCGATTTAATATAGAGCAGTCGTTCCATTTATCAAAATATCTGAATATATAATTATTTTCCAAATAGCAAGGATTTTATTAGTTTATATTATATATATATATTATGTATATATATGTGACTATATGTGTTCAAACAAATATACACACATTAGGATTATACAGTAAGTCTGCAACCATGCAGGTCTCATCTTTTACATTTCAACAATTGCAGTAAATACATGATAAAATCTTTAAATCATTTGGTATTATAAAACATCAAACTTTCATTCAAGTACTATGTGAAATTTTAGATGTTTAATTACTTACATGCAACAAACTATCTTGAGTAATTCTGCATCAAACTGTGGTGTTCTTGCCATAGAATCCACAGTTTCATTTAGTGCCTCGATATATCTCATAATCATACTGTTCTCCTTGAGTTGCTTCCCCTTCTCTATATTATAAAAACAAACATGATAACATAACATTACTCTACTGTCAATAATCATAAACAAATTGACTTTTTCATTGCTTATTGTTAAGCACCTCATGTCATGACAATTAGAGTGTATATTAGAACAAAGCAAGCAATAGAGAAAAAAAACTTTTTTTTTTTTTGCAAAGGCCTTTTTTCCATTTTGCAGCATGCAAGCAGTGCAATACTAACAATAAGCAATGAAGAAAACCTTTCAGTTGTTTCATTTCCTATGGGTGGTAATTTAGCACACAATAAGGCATTGAAACTATCTGATTGTAGCCATAAAAAACAAATTTAATTGTTCAAATCAAAAAATAAATAGTGAAAACTATTAATATATTTCTACAGCAAATTTTACAATTTACAGCTGTCCTTTTAAACCACTGTATTTCTCACACTTCAAAAAAAAGAACAAAAAAAAAGAAAGAGAAAAGTAATCTACCCTTCTTTGGCTTGTTGTTCCTCACCACCCTCGGCTCCAGCCTCTGGCTCTGTTTCTGTTTCGGGTTCTGGTGGAGGCTCGGGCCTCATACCTTCTGCAAGTTCTAAGGTGCATGTTGGCTCTCCCTGTGTGCGTGCCGACAGTGATATCCTTTGGTATTCAGATGATGTTAGGAGGAAGAAACCCTGGCCATATCTTGTGAAGATGAATGAGGTGATGCCACTGTAAGCATATACAATCACTTTGTTGGAAACCATTATATATAAGCATGTATTGCACACAAGAAATTCTATCTTTCAAAATCAAAATGTGATGTAGTAGTGGCATAGTCTATTGGTTCAAACTGCGTCTCAGGGGCAAGCCATTGTTTCTTTGAGCAAGAAATTTTACACTCATTGCTCAGTACTGATTGGTTCCAGGGAAGGATTCAAGAGTGTGTCTATAAGCTTATAGCTTCCTACACAAACCAAAATCAAATTGTGTATATACCAAAATCACTAAACTCTTTCATTAAGTGCTTAAAATAGAATGAATATGATAGCAAATATCAAATATGCTCAGTTTAAAATATCTTAACACGTAACATTTATTGCTGTTTCTTTATAGAAAAAAAAATTCTATCAAACAATATTGGCTACATTTAGTATTTGCAAGCAAAGTTGTCAAGACATTCTTTTTAGAAATGCATAAAACTTTATTGGATAAACGAATGCTTACTTAATATCTTCCCTTCTGATGGCTGAGGCCTGCATCTGTTGTCTCAATGTAGAAACAGAATAAACACTCAGTTCACCAAGGTTACTTAAACATGCTATGTCATTCTCAGAATAGTTTTCATCTGACCGGCTGCGGAAGTTAACAAAAGCTACTTTACGTATTCTTGAACCATCTACGGCTGTTAGCTTAAACTTCCATTTAGCTTTCAATTGTGGCAAGGTGAATATCTATAAATAGTAACAACATAAAATACATTATTAAGACATATTGGTTGAATTTTCTGTCGCTTAGACTTATTGAAAATGAAAGTTTGAAGGATTTCTTTATGTTTCTTGGTATTTCTTTTATCCCTACGCAACTTATTTATCAGTTAATGAATCAATAATGGATAAAATCTTGATTGTGAAATATGCTTATATCTACTATATCATGAAAGCAATAATATAATAATAATAATGAAAGCAAGATAGGTTATTGCTTTATCAAAAATATTACATCAAGGTTATTGCTTTATCAAAAATTCTACAAGATAGGTTATTACTTTATCAAAAATACCTCATCAAGGTTATTGCTTTATCAAAAATACTACATCCAGGTTACTTCTTTATCAGAAATACTACATCAAGGTTATTGCTGTATCAAAAATATGACATCAAAACAACAATTTTTAGTAACCTTAAGTTGCTCCTCTGAACAGATGATAACGGAATGATGTGAAGACATATCTGGTGCTTTAGCTCGCTCATGTTGTACTTCCAGTGATTCAGGCAGTATCCTAGATTTACCATCACAACTCCAATAGAAATAAACTGGAGCGTGGTGCCGCAATTTTATTTCCTTAGCTAGTATAACAAGTTACAGAGTCTTCGTTACGTTTCTCACCCACTCGGGACTGTTACATTATAAACAAATACATGACCCCCATTTGTTCCTACCCACAAAGATGGATTATGAGAATGACCTGAAACACAAAAATATTTCAATTTCCACACTTCCTATGCCAAAGTTATGTTATGGACAAATAATTCTTGGTACTTTAAATATCAATTTAGTAACATATGTATTTTTAATCGTTACCTTATATAAAATCTTTTTTTTTTTTACTAAAATTGTTCTATATCACATACTTTATAGTTCAAAAATACATTAAATTTTCTTTACAGTTTCAAATTGGTTTTTCTTTTTGCAATTAAGCAACAATATACTAAAGACAAGATTGCATTTGAGAAAAATGCTATGCCACCGCAATAATACAACACTAAATGGTAGTGTAGGAACAGATTTTTTTGTTTCTATACAATTGAAGATTGTCATAATGCATATCTAATTCTTATTATCAGATTAGTGGTTAAATCTATTGTTAACTCAACAAGAGGGCCATGATGGCCCTGAAATCGCTCACCTGTATATAGGCCCCCGGGGCGGGGCTAATTTTAACCCAGGGGCTTTTATTTGAACAAACTTGGTAGATCCCCATTTGAAGATGTTTCATGATAAATATCTAAGCTCTAGCTCTTAGAAAATCTTTAAGTTTTTACTAAACACATATAGTGAAAAACAATGACCCACACCCTCTGTGCGGGCTAATTTTGTCCCCAGGGATTTTATTTGAACAAACTTGGTAAACACTCACTAGAAGATAATTCATGCTTAATATCTAAACTCTATCTCTTTGGGCTTTTTAACAGAACGTTTTTTCAGTTTTTACTATATACATAAAAGGAAAATCAATGATCCCAGGCCAGGCCAATTTTTTAACCCCAGGGCCCTTAATTTAACAAAAATGGTAGACACCCATTACAAGATGTTTCATGCTAAATATCTTAGCTCTAGCTTTTAAGATTTTTTAAAAGAAGATTTTTAATGTTTTAACTATATACATAAAAGGAAAAACAATGACCCCCAGGGGCGGGGCCAATTTTGACCCCACGGCCTTTATTTGAACAAACTTGTTAGACACCCACTAGAAGAGGTTTCATGCTTAATAGCTAAGCTCTAGCTCTTTGGGTTTTTTAAAAGAAGATTTTTTAAGGTTTTACTATATGCATATAGGGTAAATCAATGACCCCCTGGGGCGGGGCCAAATTTGACCCCAGAGCTTTTATTTGAACAAACTTGGTAGACACCCATTTGAGGATGTTTCATGCTAAATATCTTAGCTCTAGCTCTTTGGGTTCTTTAAAAGAAGATTTTTTAAGGTTTTACTATATGCATATAGGGAAAATCAATGACCCCCTGGGGCGGGGCCAATTTTGACCCCAGGGCTTTTATATGAACAAACTTGATAGACACTGACTAGAAGATGTTTCATGCCAAATATTTAAGCTCTACCTCTTTGGGTTTTTTAAAAGAAGATTTTTTAAGGTTTTACTATATGCATATAGGGTAAATCAATGACCCCCTGGGGCGGGGCCAAATTTGACCCCAGAGCTTTTATTTGAACAAACTTGGTAGACACCCATTTGAGGATGTTTCATGCTAAATATCTTAGCTCTAGCTCTTTGGGTTCTTTAAAAGAAGATTTTTTAAGGTTTTACTATATGCATATAGGAAAAGTCAATGACCCCCTGGGGCGGGGCCAATTTTGACCCCAGGGCTTTTATTTGAACAAACTTGTTAGACACCCACTAGAAGAGGTTTCATGCTTAATAGCTAAGCTCTAGCTCTTTGGGTTTTTTAAAAGAAGATTTTTTAAGTTTTTACTATATGCATATAGGGTAAATCAATGACCCCCTGGGGCGGGGCCAAATTTGACCCCAGGGCTTTTATTTGAACAAACTTGGTAGACACCCATTAGAGGATGTTTCATGCTAAATATCTTAGCTCTAGCTCTTTGGGTTCTTTAAAAGAAGATTTTTTAAGGTTTTACTATATGCATATAGGGAAAATCAATGACCCCCTGGGGCGGGGCCAATTTTGACCCCAGGGCTTTTATTTGAACAAACTTGGTAGACACTGACTAGAAGATGTTTCATGCCAAATATCTAAGCTCTACCTCTTTGGGTTTTTTAAAATAAGATATTTTAAGGTTTTACTATATGCCTATAGGGTAAATGAATGACCCCCTGGGGCGGGGCCAATTTTGACCCAAGGGCTTTGATTTGAACAAACTTGGTAGACACTGACTAGAAGATGTTTCATGCCAAATATTTAAGCTCTAGCTCTTTGGGTATTTTAAAAGAAGATTTTTTAAGGTTTTACTATATGCATATAGGGAAAATCAATGACCCCTGGGGCGGGGCCAATTTTGACACCAGGGCTTTTATTTGAACAAACTTGGTAGACACCCATTAGAGGATGTTTCATGCTAAATATCTTAGCTCTAGCTCTTTGAGTTCTTTAAAAGAAGATTTTTTAAGGTTTTACTATATGCATATAGGGAAAATCAATGACCCCCTGGGGCGGGGCCAATTTTGACCCCAGGGCTTTTATTTGAACAAACTTGGTAGACACTGACTAGATGATGTTTCATGCCAAATATCTAAGCTCTAGCTCTTTGGGTTTTTTAAAAGAAGATATTTTAAGTTATTTCTTTCGGTTGCCATGGCAACCAGAGTTCTGCATGGAATTAAATTCTTTGAACAATTTTTAAAGGTGACCACCAAAGGAACATTCTTGTGAAGTTTGGATGAAATTGGCCTAGTGGTTTATGAGGAGATGTCATTTAAAGTAAAAGTTTACGGACGCCGGATGGCCGGACGCCGGACGAAAAGCGATCACAAAAGCTCACCCTGTCACTTTGTGACAGGTGAGCTAATAAAAGATCAGAGTAGGAATATATCAATGCACTTGAGTCAAGTGAATTTGGTGGTGAAGGTCATATTTCACACAGCCTAAAATTTCATGACTGCATCAAAGGACAACATGTAATACACTTTGTCAAAATCTAGGTCAGCTGATATCAAAGTTCACTTTTAATTTTGACACTAGAGGCAAAATTTGAACAACTTTGGTAGAGTACCTATATATGATATCATTTAACAATTATTAAAGCTCTAAGCCTTGTACCTTCAGACAATAAGATTTTTTTGATTTTTTACTATATGTATATATTGAAAATCAATGACCCCAGGGCGGGGGCAATTTTGACCCAAGGGCTATTATTTGAACATTCTTGCTAGAGGTTCACTGCACAATGTTTCATGCAAAGTATCTAACCTCTAGCATTTGTCAATTGCTAGAAGAAATTTTTTTAAAGTTTTTACTATAAGTTTTTACTATGTAATCATGAGGAAAATCAATGACCCCGGGGCCGGGCCGATTCTGACCCCAGGGCTATAATTTGAACAATCTGGGTAGAGGTCTATCTGATAATGCCTTATGCAAAATATCTAAGCTCTAGGCCTTTTGGGTCTTTACAAGAAGGTATTTTAAATTTTTACTATATGTACATATAGTGAAAATCCATGACCCCCGGGGCAGGGCTGATTTTGACCCCAGGGCTATAATTTGAACAATATTGGTAGAGGTCTACCAGACAATGCCTTATGCAAAATATCTAAGCTCTAGGCCTATGGGTCTTTACAAAAAGGTATTTTAAGTTTTTACTATATGTACATATAGTGAAAATCAATGACCCCCCGGGGCGGGGCCGATTTTGACCCCAGGGCTATAATTTGAACAATCTTGGTAGAGGTCTACCAGACAATGCCTTATGCAAAATATCTAAGCACTAGGCCTTTTGGGTCTTTACAAGAAGATTTTTTAAATTTATTCTTATAATTCCTTTTGGTTGCCATGGCAACCAGATTTCTGCATGGAATTAAATTCTTTGAACAACTTTGGAAGCCCTTCACCCAAGGATCAATCCTGCCAAGTTTGGTTGAAATTGGACTAGTGGTTTTTCACAAGAAGATTTTTTAAGTTCACTATATAATCTATATAACACACACACACACAAACAAACAAACGAACAAACACACACACACACACACACACACAGGTGAATCGCTATATGCCACCGCATCGCAGATGCTGCGGTGGCATAAAAAGGTCATAATTATTGTCATAAAAGAACTGTGCTTAGCGTACAGAAAACAATTCTAATGAACTAAAATAAAATTTCAACATCACAGTCCTTCACTTAGCACTTTGTTCTTTAAAAGCCAATTAGAGTATAAATTATTTTAAAGCATCACCCAAAATGTTCAGATAATTGCATAAAATATTGATCTCAAAACAACTATTACCATTTACAATGAAAGTGTCTGCGAAGTAAAGACATCTGACCATAGATGCCATGGAATCTTCCGTAGACCTGAATTCTACGCTACGCTCCACTGGTTTAGGTTCAGATAAAGCCGGTGATGCCGGTGGCTCACCTGCCGCGGCTGTTGATGGGCCAGCTTCAGGGCTAGTTTTCTCTTCACTGAATTTTTTATTTAACAAATAATGTGTATACAGACTATTAATATTCAATACTTAATTTCTGACCTACATAAAACAAGGGCACTAAATAAAAGTAAGCCAAAAATGTCAGGAGACTGAGCACAGGCCTTTTTTAACAGCTTAAAACTTTTTTGGTTTGTGTTCAAACTACAAAGTCTTTAATTTGTATATGATGGTGATAAATCTCTTAACAATTTAAGAAGTTAATTTGTCCTTTATATCAAAATTAAGAACCATAATCATTTTTAATTAAGAACTACTATCATTTCTCTCAATATGGTAAATATAGGGCTGAAGACAACTACTAAAATCTTAAAATTACTTAAAGGCAGATAATTGATAAATGGACTTACATATAACA